CCCCAAAACCCCAAAACCCCAAAACCCCAAGATTAAGGATAGGTTGATTTGTAAGTTATAACAAATTTAGATATATTTTGATGATAGTTTAGCATACTTTTATAGTTGAGGATGCTAAGTCATAGAATTAACAATTGAATTTATTTGGCATCATTTATCAATCTGGTCAGGCATTCTTTTCAAAAGTAAGGCAAGGGTCGCAGATATCCCAGAGAAAATTACCATGATTATCAACGGATATGGGTGGACTATTTTGGCTATTATAGGTGACATTATGGATATAAATCTGCCAACAATGTTACAAAATCCATAAGCTGTCCCAAGGAATATTGTAGGAAACATCTGAGTGTTAAGCAAGTAAGCCACGTCAAATGTACTAGTGATTCCAAAGTTATTAAATAGGATCAGCACAGCAACTAAAATATCAGTGGAACCGAAGGCAAAGATTATAGCAAATGATGCTGCACAAGATATACCGCAGAATAGTATGATAGACTGTTTGAGAGTCATGCAGCGTGTTACCAGTATGCAAGCCAGAGAAGCAAGAAGCTCAGCACTTCCCGAAAAAATAGCGAAGAGATAGGTGTTGCCCTTGAGAGTGTCTAAGTAAAACGGAATGAAGAAGAAACCAAATGAACCGAAGGACCATATTGTGGTCATTATTAGTAGATTTCTGAGATATGTTTTATTTTTAAACAGCTCACCTAGTGTTCCTTTCAATTGCAATTCTATTTGAATTATCTTTTGCTTCTCAGACAATCTTGGTTCTGCAGCTGTTGGATCCCTAGTGAAATCAATAGTAGTATCTTTAAGAACATTAATTCCAAGTTTCTACTAAGTCTGCTGGGATAACATGGAACCCTTAAACTCGTTTTCTCCAGCAGCTTAGCCAATTTCATTATTCCCATTATTTTCCAACAGATTCTTATTGTCATATTATGTTTCAGACTCAAACACGAAGTAGTTTATGTCACTCTTCCCATTAAATTTTGCAATATGCAATAAAACTACTCTTGCTTCGTCAAATCTCTTTTTGCTGAAGTAGAATCTGGGAGATTCCGGCAATTTCCAAATCGTCAATATAAAACTAATGATCGAGAGTGCCCCTCCCATATAAGCAAGATTTATCCACTCTTTGGATATAAACCAGAAATAAATACTGAATAATATCTACAGACATCCAAATACTACAAAGATTAGGAGACCACTTAGGTTTTGATACTTATCAGGCATCATCTCAACACAGTACACGTAAGCAACATAGTATCTACCAGTTTCTGAAATACCCCCTAGTAATAGAAGCACATATGTTAGGTATAGGCTTGTGTTGAATACTAACCCAATTATCACGATTAGATAGAGCACTAGACCAACTAGAAACATAGGTCGTCTCCCGTAGACGTCGGAGGCTCTTGGAAGTATAAATGAACCTATAAAAGCGCCAAAAAAGAATGAAGATCCTATAAAGCTGACTGCGATGCTTGATCTGCACTTAAGGTCAAGTTACTCTACCCAGTTATGTAAACTACCTTCATCTGTCCAGTCTATAAAGTATGACTCGACAACATTGGCATCATCGCATATTTCCTCAGATGTGCAAATTTTATAGCTACTTTATTAGTTGTATCGACACATATATGTAGGTTCCTTCTCAAAATAGTATAAATTATAGAGAATGAAAGCCCCTGCAGCCATTCCAGTGACTATTATTGTAAATGAAAAGAATTAGAACTTTGAAAACCCTCCTATCTTAACGAGCACTTCATCTACATCTTCAAACACTATTTAGTTCCTGGATTTATCATTCTGTGTACCTTCCTCTTGCTCAGAAACAGGATACTCCTCTGAATTAAGTTTTTGCATTAATTGCTTTTCTTCTATATTTTGCATTAATATGGGCACTATCTAATTTTTAATTTTAATTATTCTTTATCACCAAATGCGCAATCATTACTTCACCATGGGGTTTTGGGGTTTTGGGGTTTTGGGG